CTCACTTAAAATAAAATAAAGCTGTTTGTTTAGAATAACCTGAAAATGGGACAGGTATAAGAATATTTCATCCTGAATTCCATTCATTCCACTGAATTCAGGTCTGAATTCGGCTTCATGCACATCAACACTGGTAATAATCTGGAAAACATTTCCTTCCTATTTTGGGAGGAGAGCAAGCTGTTCCTTGAGTTTCTGTAGTGGAAGAGTGGGGAAAAAATTGAAAATATGAATCTGTCTGAGGCACTATGACCTCTAGAATTCCTGTGTGTGAGGTATATATGGCCATTTGACCAATGTCTTTAACATTCCCCTTGGCACTCTTTGAAATTGTCTATTACAAAACAGATGGTGCAGTAGTTACTTTTGAAGGGCTAGAAGAGCATGACCACATCTGGAATTAATCTTTAGCTCCCTAAACCAATAGATCACCCAGTTTTAAGAGACCTTCCAATATAAATGCATTGCACAAGTACAGAGAGAATACAAAGCTTTAAGGCAGAGTATAAGCAGCCTGGAACTATAATTCATAGGCACACAACTCTTTCTGTTCAACTGTCTCATTTGTAGGCATGTTCTTTTTACAGCATCTCTTTCTCATTGAGCAACATCAATAAGTGAAATATGTAACTTTTAAAATGTGATTTTAAAAAATCCATAAATTTTCATTTTTGTATAAATGTATTTCCTTACTTTGTCTTTGGCTACAATATTCCTAAAGAGATGCCCTTCTTCATTCTCATGCTACGCTTTGCCTTAAAGCATAGTCAAACATTGTATAAAACCAGTGTGCAGACAGCATCATGCAAAGAGAACTAGTTATGGCATTTTGAGTGACCGACCATTAAGCAGGAAAACACGTGCTGCATAGTATCACAGAAAAAGGGCATCGGGGCATTCAGCTGATGAAGCTAGGGTAAAAAAGCTAGGGTTTCTACAATCTTGGATGCCTGTGCAAACCACAAGTTTTGTCTGATGCTAAACTGCATGTGCCTGACTAGCATTTGATCTGGAGAATCTGAATATTTGAAAATTCAAATTTCTTATCCATCATTGTGGAAAAAAAGTAGTAACCTCAGAAATGAATTACTTGGTGCAAAGCCACAGACTTCTGTAATAAAACTGTGGTTAAGGGCAAAGAACTTTGAATGCTACAAAATCTACAAGTCATGTCTCTCTACTGTTAGGTTTAAAGGATAAAATTTCTCTACTGTCTTTTGTCTTTCTGTTGACTTGTAGGCTTTTTTGTCCTTCCTTTAAATAGCACCTACACCTATCTCAAAGAAAAACCTGCAGAGAGATTACTGTGCTATTAATTTATATTCTCAAATTAATATTTGTCCATCTAATGGTAATAATGTGTAAGAATCTGAAAAACTATCCAAGGTTACACATTTCACAAAGCCAAAATGCTTGGCTTGTATTTAAATATGGTGATTAATTCTATATCTAAAGAAGTTTTGCATTTTTGAGAAGCAGAGTAAAAGTACATAAACCTTTATAACACTTTACAGTTAACGCTCCCAAGATGAAGTGGTAGAAGACGTTCTTCACAGAGAACTCCTGCTCCAGAAAATTAGTGACGCCGCAGGGGTAGCTGCACTGACCCTGGCGTCGGGTGTTGGCAGCAGCATCTTGGAACAGACCGGGTTCTCACTGACCACCTGCTTGCCCTCTGCATAGGAGCCTTGCTGATAGCCCGCAGATGTTTATCCTAATACACAGACTAAATATATTCATAGTGGAGGCATCATATGCTTTTCTTTCATCTGCGCTGCATACTTTCAGAGATACATGGCTAGACCGTGAGGGATAACACCATTATTCCAGTGAGGCCGATCCAACTGGATTAATGTGCACCAGAAAATATGCACTGTTCATATTCAATTCTTCCTTGGGTTAGCTGATAACTGGAATGCTTTCATTGTAAATAAGAAATGCATTTTTCCAGGAAGTGCTATGCTTTGTTGATATTTTTGCAAACCATGGAAAACAGTGTGTGATCAGTTCTAAGCACTTTCTAATATGATCAGTACTTTTTGTTAGAGGGATAACTGTGGCTCTATGGCTAAGAATGAGTTGAGTCTTGAGCCTCACATCTACCTTAGGAGCCGTGCTATATTCTGGCATCCAATTAGGAGATTCTGCTTATGACTAAGTAATACGGAATTGCCCACGCTGCAAGTAAGCGATAAAAGGCCACCTTAAGTAAAGGATCAAAATTTGTGTGCAAAGCCAAGTCTCTAAAGGTCCTGCTGCTTCGCTCTGACTAAAAGATTAATTTTCCGTATATAACAGAGCTCACATCCACATGAGGGCACCAGCAGACATCTTTTTTTTTCTCAGAGCAATGTGTAACCTCTTTCTGAAATGAATATGTCAATCAACGATCCTATCAGTCCATCCTTTTACATTACTAGAGAAAAGCTCTCTCTTTTAAATGTTATAATTTGCAAAGCTTACTTGATTGTTTTTTGATTCTTTAGCAAAAACATTTTTGACTTTCTGTCATTCTATTATTAACAGGAATCTTTAAAAAAAATCTAAGAGTTGAGGGATTGCCTATTTTTAAATAAATGAAATTGTAGTACTTTTTAATCCAGCTGTGTAAGCGCATGTATGTGAATTCTCATTAAAATTGATGAAGTTTATTATGCCTTGGCTCTTGAGAGGAGAAAAAAATCCCAATTTTAACCTCATTTTTATTAAGTCCACAGAAATATGCGGACAACACCCACTCCATTTGTAGAAATTATACAATGTTTAAAAAAAGGAAAGAGTTATTATTCTTGCTGTATGCAGGGTTAGACCAAGGATTTAGGACTAAAACTATCCACTCCCTTTTCCCACTGAGCTTCAAGAACAAATTCACCAACATAAATACTGAACAAGAATGATCATGTTTTGTCTCTCTGCTTTTAAATTGTGAGTCTTTTTTCAGAACTGAAGAACGCATGACTCTTTTTTCAGTGGGCCAGCAGACTACATGCTGCAGCAAGGATTTAATATATTAGTTAAATAGGGAATGTTACACCAAGAAGACTGCAGGGTTGTTTGGTAGAGATGACTGCATACAACATGAAATAATGCAGAGAATGGTTTTCTTCTGAATCAACTAGATAGCATTCCGAAGGACAGAAAAACTTGACAGGAACTTCCAAACACTTACAAGGGTATTCACAAAAGCTGTCTTAGCCTAGTGAGACTATGCAAAGGAAGTCCATAGGCATTTTCAAAGAGTGAATCAGGAGGACTAAATTAACTTCTCCTGCTTGCCTCCAGCTAAAGCCTTTTTCTCCATTAGCTGTTGGGGTGGTCTGGAGAAATTAGCATCTTTGGGCTGAGCTTGCTTTTAGTGAATACCATCTCAGAGCAATAAAATTGCATTATTTAAAGATTATAGATAGTGTGGTATGGTATAGCTCTCTGATGGAGCCAAAGAATCTTAGAAAATTTTGGGGTCCTCAACAGGAAGCTGAAGAGTTGGAGAAGTCCACCAGAGATCTTAAGCAGAGGACTATCCTCATTCCTTACTGCAAGATGGATATGTAGAGAGAAGCATATTTCATGGCATGAGAGCACACCTGGACATTGGAGTGGACATGAAAAATTGTGAAAATGTGAAATTATTGATGGAAAATTGTGTCTTTAAAGAATATTTAGGATTAGTTCTGCTAAAATAAAGAAAATCTGAGAGGTAAATCTGGAAGGGCAGTGTCCTCCTGTTAGCTCAGGAATTTAGTCTTACAAAATTTACAAAAAAGTGCTGTAGGTGCAAAATCCTCAAGTGACTATTCCAGAGAAAAATGTAAGTTCTGTAAGATCTCTCACTGTATCACCTAAGCACTGAAAACCAAAAATTTTCCATTGTATCCTACTGAATATGAGTTAGATGTGTGCTGAAACGTTAAAACGTGTGTGTATATGAATATGTATTTTGAGGGATTTTTATGGCACCCAAGGTACTGTGAGTGAGTATTTCCTTTCTTCATATGTTACCAAGAGAAAGACAAGACGTGGTTAATGGATGTTGATTTAATATAACCCACAGTGAGTATTCCTGATAGCTGTATGCCATGGAAAAGGAGGAGGGAAATGAGAGATGTTTGGTTTCCCAGCTATTCACATTTTATAGCTAATCCTAAAAGTGGAGTCTTGTCTTCTTCTCTCAAGCCTACATCTAAACAATGAGAAGTAAAAATAGCTGGAAATTTTGGAGCATGCAGTGTCTGCTTAATACATGAAGTGTGGTATCTGCAGCCTGAGTTTCACTCAGTTTTATGTGATTTCTGCAGTAAAGATACTTGAGCCTTTTATGAAGAATTTGCTCTAACTAATCTTGTCAAAGTTCACTATTACTCTTTAAAGTATTACAGATAATCTTACAATAGGCTTACAATAAGTAAATGCAGTTTCATCAACCTAATGCCAGTAATTACTGACTTTGTGTTAAAAGGTAAGAAAAGCGTTTTTCTACCATCCTATGTTGACATTTAGCATCTTAATGCCATAAGTACTTTCAGTAGTGTAGCCAGCCTCACCATCAAATGTGGTAACCGCTGAAATCCTTCTATGCAAGCCAAAGAAAGCTTTGCTAAGAAAGTTTATTGGATCTCCATGGAGCTGCATGGACATTAATGCCGGTGCAAGAGAGGCAGCATGGGTGGGAACAAGCGCTAGGAAGGTGAGATCATTTTGTTACAGCAGCAACGTGGGATTTATACCAAAATAAAATGCCAGTGGGACTGCTACGAGTTCCCAATATAACAATGCCATGTAAGTAGAAACTCACACTGATAAAGTCTTTAGTTAGTCATTCATAAATTTAAAAGCAGAGTGTAAATCCAGATATCAAAAGCCATCAGTTCTAAAACCAGGATGTTTTAGACCAGAAATTCTAAAACCAGAATGTTCTCTTAATGCTGTGTTTTTTAAAAAACAAAAAGGATAGATTTGGAAACCACTGCTTAAGGATAGACATGATCTAGTCAAGCGAATGAGAATGTCATCTAAGGAAATGGAGTGGCTGTCACATGTCATTTGTTCATGTCTTCAGGTGACCCATACACCTGGCATCAGGGTGCTAGTACACTCAGACATAGGCCATGGCTGTGGGAAGACCTGGAGGCAGTACTTCCAAAATACAATTGTCCTGCATTTTGAGTTTAAACTCTTGGATTGCTTTACCAAATTATCAACTCAAAAGACATTAGTTGAGCTAAAAAAATGATATTAGACATAGAGCAGAAATATCTGGAATATCCAATAACCTCCTGACATCAATCCTGACACCTCCTGACATCAAGTGAAAGTTTATGGATTACTCAACTGATCTGGAATAAAGCTTTCCCTGTAAAAGTAAACTCTCCAAAGCAGAAATTGATATGGAGTTTCCTTTGGGCTCGGATCTCAGACCTGGGAAAAAGAATGTGATCTATAACATATCTAATATACGCTCAGATGCTACACTGCCTCCTCCAGTGACCCCAAGGTAATCATTCTTTTCTACAGTGCTTCTGTTGCAACTATTTATTTGGAAAAAGAGCCTTGGGAAGGCTTCTCAGGACTGAGGGAATATCCCTCATTTTTAGACCTATCACCCTAAACTCTTGTCTCAGTTTCATATGGCCCAGCATCCGTCAAATGTGAAACTAGATACGCTCAGTTGTGGCCTCTTTATTTTCAAACATTGAGTGCTGTACACACTCATCACACTAATTATATAACTAGTGGAAGCGTATAGCTTACAAACCTATAGCAGATCTGGGGTGTTTTCCGTTGGACTTGAACAGCGAGATAAACTTTTTGTCATTTCTTTTTAAGAAATAGTTGCTCTTCATAGTCATGTTATTTCTCTCCAGCAAGGAGAAGAATGAGAGTCCACTTATTCATCCGTCTTGGATGCTACAACATAATTAATTTTACAATCCAAGTTATGTTTGAGAAAGGACATGCTGTAAGTGAGGAATTGTGATTTGAGAATCATTTC